ATCAGAATCAAAGTCTCTCGATAACGAGAACGCGATGTATGCGAAATCGAAGAAATCACGTGCTGTGCTTATACGTCAAAGCGCGGATCGAAATTGCCACTCTCGGGGAAGACACTGACCTAGATACCGATATACATGGAGAAGGTCGTATGTAAATACACGTCGTATATATTACATATATATATATACGTATACATACATCGATGCGTCTGTGTATATATAATTCAGTGAATAATACTCCGGCGCGTGCACGCGTATACACGTGCACTCGCATGCATACACATGTATGTGCACATGCACACACGCTCTGGTGGCGCATAAAATAAAGGGTTATGTATTTTCTTCTCCCGCCTTCTCTCTCTCACTCGCGCACACGAGAATTCGCGTGTGTATACGTTTATGCTATCCCGCTGTAATGGCAACGTATACGCGCACTTTGTGCATACGTATCGCGAAATGTTTGCCATGTTAATTAACCGTACGATGGAGGCCTTTGAACACAGGAGTGAAATTAAATTTGGCGGTGTGCGCATAAGTAAAGTTGCATATCAACGTATCTCGTGTTCTTCAGTAATGAAAATGATTGAACTCTGTGTGTACACTGGCTATTATTCCATTGTGTCAAAAGAAACGGATGAAGGGTATTATTAATGAATTTATATAATTATTATGTTACGATATTTATAATTATAATTCACGAAATTATTTATCACGATCTTTCAAATTATTTAATGTCAACGCGATTTTGTTAGAAAACGTTTTTCAAAAGATATTATTCGAATTTTATATTATCATTATGAGAATATGCATTTATTAAAAATAGGATAAACAAATGTTTTGCTCTATCGCGTAATTTGTTACTACAAGAATTTACAAACGAGCGAAGAAAGTGTTATCTGTTAAAAAAAAAACAGTTTGTAGTTTGACTTTTTACATACCTATATATGTTCGCAGATATATATTTACATGGTGAGCGCGTAAATGTGGGGTGCGTCAGCGCGTAAGAACTCGCCAGTGCTCGTGAATGAAACTGTAATAGTAACGAGTACACGTACGTACGTACGTACGTGCGTAAAGTTCTATATCGATGAGTCAGTCAGTCAGTCCGGCTGACTCTCGTTACAACTCGCAATTTACAGGCGCTTTCTCAAGGGATCGTTGAACTCCGTCGAGCGTGTCGTCTTTTTTCCTTCTTCGAACTTTCTTTCTCACAACATCATTAAACTCGATATATTACGTGTATGTAAAAATCCATTTTATACAACACGGTATAATTCATGTATGTAACAATGAGTTTTGCAAACTTATGCGCGAACTAAATTTAAAAAAAAAACGACCTAATCAAAATCGAAAATTAACACGTGTATAAAGAATTTATAATGCAAGTATTTTAAGATATATTTAATGATATTTATGTAGTTTCAACTACTAATTTTTTTAAACGTAATTATTTATTGAGAATACGCCTTTGCAATTAATTATATGGTATGGATACTAAGGATTATGATTGCAATCTACATTTAATATTTATATTAGAATACATTTGTGGTTTTTCATTTTCGACATAACAATTGGTTATACATGAATAGATGGACAAGATATGCCACGATGGTCATGATAACCAATAGATTGTGGCTGATGGTATTCAACTGTCTGTATCAACAGTTAACAGCGGCAAAATGGCCATTTCGTGTTTCCATTCATCATTCCGCACCGAACTATAATTTAACAAAATGCACTGTGTTCGAAATGATCGATAATCGAAGGTAATTATTATTCCACATACTATATATGCGTATATACACGTGTGTATATATCTATACATATAATACGCTCAGAAATGCACGATAATTGTGTTCTGCTTTGATGAGCGTCGACGAGGCGCGTAAAGGCGTGTTCTTAATTACGGAGCAGTCTGATAAAATTGTGTAATATATTTTTTTAAATACATCAATATATAGCGCCATCAATATATCTTAAGTTCACTTCTTTTGTAAAGTAAAATAAAATGAGATTCATTTTATTAGTTTTATAACGGCATACAAATAATAAAAACGATACATAAATGTATGTGTAATTTATACTTTATAATTTGCGAGAGAGATTCTTGGAGAAAACTGAACGATATAAATTAACGGATTAATATATGCTGACACTTCGCGTCGCGATATCACCAATAAAAGTAATCGTTATTGCGAGCGATAACTTGAATATATTCGCGCATATATGTAGATGCATGATTGACGTTCACGAGCGCGTTTATTCATGAATTATGAATACAATCGAAGCGCTTGATGTCGCCGAAGCCAGATACGCGATTCGGCTTTTCCACGGGGTTTGGCCGCCTTTCTACGCTCGATTGTGCTAGGTCGAGGCTCTCGGCCGTCGTTATCAACGTCGGCAGATAAGAGCCTTCCTCGTTAATTAATGAATTAATGCCCCCGGCAGATAAAATCGGCCCGAGGTCGAGCGAGCCATTGAGTCTCGAGCCTTTAATCCGCGTCACCAGGAGCAAATCGCATCTTCCGCACGATGAAGAAAACTAAAGGTCGTGTCAGGGTGCACGTAATTAATTGCACAACAGATTATTGATTATTCGCGAACGCGTGAAATGATGTAAGATAGCGGCCAATTCTCGCCTCTAATGACATATCGTGTTTCTTTCTTTTCTTTTTAAGATTTTTTTATCTACTCGCGAGAAGAGATTAGCGCGATTGTGGAAAAATTTGTTTACTACGGTAAAATTTATAAAATCTTCCTATATTGAGATGATGTGTATAAATCACTTGTGTGGCAGAATATAAATATTTGCATTATTGAAAATTTATGTTACCATCCATTCACGAGAAATCGTATAGATTCTCTACAAATATATAATTTATTTGTATACGAGTATAATATTTCAGTGTCACATCAGTTGTCAAATCAGTTCTGATTTGTCAGGCATTCTTCATCGTGTCTATTCAAATGTATACATTTTACGTTCATCGACGCGAGTAATATAAAGAGGAAGATTTTGGCAGAATGTTAATGCGTAAATGTAAACTGAAATGTCACTTTGGCGAAATTTCGAAGTACTTTTCACTCGAATTTCTAGAGATTAGAATATCGTTTATATTATATTACGCGAAGATACACATACACATCTCACCGTCTCCAGCTTTAAGTGATAATTTAGTTTATAAGATAACATTTGGGTTATATCCAGAACGTGGTTAGTGGACTTCAACACGAAAGGCTATTTTCTCTGATAGACTCGTTGAATGATATCAATGATAATACGCTCACATTCTATTTGGAGAAAGTTTTAGTTATTTCTTTTTTAAACCGATAAAATGAATAAGAGAGAGAGTATAATATATATTTCATCTTTTCTGACATTCAGTGAATATAAACTAGAGAGACTTGTCCTTTGTTCTTTTTCAATATTTTTACTGGAAATCATCAATTTATCATTATTAAATTTATTTAAAAATGCAAAGGACGATAAAATTCTAGTCAATCTGTAAGGGTAATATCATTAATAAAATTTGTTATCAGTTTTATTTTCAGATTTATTATCATTAATATCTATCACAATAAGATGTAAAATATATTCGATTAATTTTACTATGTATATACATATTAAATTATTTTTTATCGTAATAAATATTAATCAGAGAAATTCTTATAAATTAAAATTCTTCCAGTACCATATTATCCTGCGATTATCATGATTTTTTCCGGGTAAATTCTAAGAGAAAATTCTCTCTTAGTGTGTATTTTATCTGTATTATATAGACATCGTTTCTTAAAAAAAAATAAAAATAAAAAAAAATCTACATTATGCTAAAACCACAGATAAGCCACGAACGCGATCACATGTCGATTGCGCTTCGCACAAGTGGCTCGTAAAAATGGTAAGTGCCAGCGTTTAAAGAGATATAACTATATCGCTCTCTGCTATACGCTGCGGGATTGTTTTAGTTCGACACACACGCACGATATCCGTCATACCGATCATAATTTCTGTCGAAATGCGGTGTGTAGGACGCGACATACCGAATAGAACGACTTTGCAACAGTGAGGCAAGCAACGCTAACATTGACTCGGCATTCATGCATTAGCCTGTGCGCCAGTGTAAACGCTTTGCTACATTCATGTGTTTCCTTTCCCGCGGCGAACGCGATCGATGGCAAATATTACTCTGGTCAATTCCAGCCGGCAGTCTATTTACTTGTTTGTGGTATCACTTTGCTGCGTCGATAGGGAAAAGTCGGATGAACGAGGGAGAGGGAGAGAAAAAGAGAGGCGAATGCGATTCCAACACCGGTTTACATATACACGGTACGATGCTCTTTCGATGCATCGAATAGCGCAAGCGCAGTTACCGAATATATCAGATTCAACCACCTATATCTCCCCCAACGAATCTTGCGGCCAGTTAATCGTTATGATATGTGGTAATGGCGACGACTGATTTCGAATTAGTCCCAATTTCGGACTGCTATGAATTACACAACCAGTAGCGCGCGTTGCAGATGCTTCCGCTACGTTAATAAATATTTTTCTACAAATCATTTGAAACTTATATAAAATACAATAATTATCATGGTCATTATTAAACGTTTACCTTAATTATTAATTCTTCTGATCGTTTGCATTTAATAACATAAAGGAAAGAAAGAGTTTTATTCTAATACGAGCGATGCGATGCCAATTATAAAATTACAAACATTTCTCAATTACAAATATCGTAATTTCTATGGAACGAGGATAATAAAAATTGGAGAAAATAAAATACGAGAGAATAACTCGTCGCAGAAGAAGAGAAATTCGTTTCATTATATCAACGGTTTAATCGGAGATATATTTCTCGAATGCATGCGAAATAACGAAGCGATGAACGATCTCGCTAATGACTGCGCGCTCGCATCTTAATAATTCCGGTCGACTGATATAAGAACTTAGAGAGCGTTCGACGTCGTTATTAATGACACAATATATTTCTGTGTTTCAGGTGCAATGTGGAGTCTCGTGGAGCCGGCTTCTACTATGAGTTGAGGCTTCGTAATTAATCGTGAGTACATGAATCCCTATCCTCACACATATATATATGCATGCATATCTATATAATACGCCGGCGCGCACACATAGATACATGTGAAGCGTGAGAGAGAGAAGATCGTTAAGCAATGTCCATGTAGGCCCTCCACATATGTAACATTCCCTAAATTGCGAATTTGATACCGCGAATTTTATCGCTCTCGCGCTTCCTTTATTTCGCAATTTGCGTCCGATGTATGATTGCATTAAAATCGCACGGCTCTCCCGCGGCTTTATTAATCGAGTCTCTTTTTTTATTATTATTACCGCGAGGCAATAAAAAGTCTAGTAGCTCGTGGTGGTTTTCGTAAGTGTATATCGATGTATAGATAGGTGTTCTCGTTTCTCGGTATCAGATCGCTGATATTTTTCTTCGCGTATAGTGCAAGAAATACCTAACAGCAGTCAAGAATGTGCATCGTGCGTTAATATTTCACTATGTATAAGGGGTTTCTATTCTTGCATCGTGAACTGTATACAAGAGTATTGTGTGTGTAATATATATATATATGTACACTGCGCGTACCGCTTTCAACTTGTTTTTATATATAAATATCCCATATGAAATAGCGTTTCTTTTAACTTTCAATACATGACTATAGTTGTGAGGTGCATCAAACAACACGTGTCATTACAAGGAGATCGATTACATAAAAATTTCCATTCCGTTACCTTAAGCGCGATTTAAGCTTAGAAAAGGTACAAAGGTGGAGAGAATTTTTTCTTAGAATTTACCTTGAAAATCATAGTAATCGTGGAACAATGTGGTATTGGAAGAATTTTATACACAAGTGTTTCTCTCCGATTAATATTCACCGCAATAAAAATATTAATTCTACCACAAAAAGATATACAAAATATATTCGATTAATTTTACTATGTACCACCGTTTAATTTACTTTATCACGAAATTTATTACTTGTCCCACGATTACCATGATAATTTTGAGGGTAAATTAAAAATGAATTATAAATTGTGGGACATGGTAAATTTTACTATGTACATAATAAAATTTACTACATATCCCACGATTTAATTCACTTTTAATTTACCACGAAAATACACTACTTGTCCCACGACTACCATAATTTTGAGATTAAATTCTTAGAAAAAATGTTCTCCATGTAAGAATAATTCGATACGACCGATTGAGTCATTCCATACATTTCATTAACGATATTATTATGGAACAGACGTTTCCGACGTTTCTCCTTTGCGCGAAATTTTAACCATTTCACTGGATAGAATAGAATCCATCTTCATTTACTCCAAACTGGCATTTTCCCGCCGTAGTGAGCTAGAATCGCGTTTGTTGCTGAATGAAGTGCTATTTGAGCGTTAATATGACTTTATTTCGTAATCGACTCGGATTCGATTCGCCGCTCGCGGCGGAGGGTTGGATGGATAGTGGCGGTTTTTCATTGTAGTAGTAGGCGTCGACATTCTCTCTCTTTTAAGAGAGCCAGAGAGAGAGAGCGAGAGCGAGATAGAGATTACGGCGCTCGCCCGGTGCATTTCTTCGTATCGATCGCCGCCGCGCGAATACTCCCACATAATTCGCTTATTACAGCTTCCGCGTATATCTCCCCGCAGTATTCCCTCGGCTTCTCGGAAAAAGTATAGATGCGCGCTCGCTCGGGAGGAACACCTACTCGCGTTTGTGCATCTCCCGCACGAGAGACGTGCGAGCGCATCGCCGCTATAATTGCAGCCGATGCGACGTACGTATACATACACACACACATATATATATATATATATATATGTACGTTATAGCATGACGCCCCGGTTCGCGTGTAAGCGTGTGTTGACGGATGCACGAATGTGCCGCACACACACACACATATATATGTATGTATGTCCCTTGTGCGTCTCTGTATTCGGCGCGCGTGGGGAAGTCCCCGTTAACGGCACTATGTAGCGTTCATGCAACCATCGTATTTGTGCGGGTTAGAGAAAGAGCGAGAGAGACCATAGTGTGGCCGATAAAGAGAGGGAGAGAAATATCGGCGAGCCCTCGAGAGAGAACGAGATCGAGATAGAAAGAGAGAGAGAGAGAGAGACACGGAGTAGTCGAGGGATGGTTTTGCTCTGCTGGCTCTGTATTGATTGCTGTGCTGCTCCTCCACCTCCACCATCTCTTGCGACGATCTCTCTCTCTGTCTCTCTTTCTCTATTCCTGTCCCGCACACCGACGCGGCGCGGCCGCCCGTAATGTCGGTTCGCTCTCTGCGAAACCATCAAGATCCGAGGTCCTCGTTGCGCCACGTATCTCTTCCCTCGAAACGCCCCGACGAGAGAGGGAGCGAGAGAGAGAGAAATCCGCCTGTAATTGACGCAGATAGGAGTGCCATCTGCCGCGGCACCGACGCCGGGAGAATGCCGTCCTCGACGACGTGTTCCATGTAAGGATTCATTGAATAGGAAACGAAGTACGCGAGAGACCGGCTCTTCTCTTCGTGACTCGCGCGTCTCTTTTGCGTCTCTCGATTTCTCGCAATGTCGTTTCCACCGTCGAGCAACATTGCTCCGCGTGCTTGCTACCTTGGCACTTTCCGAACTTCCCAAACTGACGTTAACCCTCGGAGGAAAAATACTTACGTAAAGAACTATGGGGGGTAACTAGGGGACAACTTTTGTTGGGTGCAATCAATAAATCTGGAAATACGTATCCTGGAGCGCAAACTGAAAATTACGAATTATTTTCGTAATTTGTATGAGAAGAACATTTTTGAAGAGAAGTTCTAAACTACTATTTTCGTTAACGTATAAAATTGGATATAAAAGTAAATTGTGTATAATATTATTTGGTGTAGTGTTATTTTTGTGTATAGTTATGTTTGGATATTTATCGAAACGATTCGTTGCATAAGAAAGATCCTCCGAGGGTTAAAAGAGTGTTTTAAACGAGTTTTCGAATGGGGTGTAGTAATAATGAAAGTTAATGAGATACTGCATTGTACGCGCGAAATTTCATACGAATGATACGAATCAACAATGTAAGAATATTTATCTCAATTTATAGTATATTAAGATTCATGATTTGCATGAAAGAGAGAAAGGGGGAGAGAATTTGTGCGTTATATATTTTGTTTTCAATCGCAGTTTGAGAAGAAATTAATCTATACACTTTTATAACTGTATTAATTATGAAGATGTATCTTTTGCACTTCAAAGAAAGAATTTATTTTTTGTTCTACACATTTATTGGATTATATATATCTTGTGCATGATTGATAAAGATTTGATTATTATTCTGCATTATCATTATTAGTCTTATGACAGTCACATTATGATAACGCTATTAGATAAGGTGAAGATTGAATTTATTAGAAGATTAATGAAACGAATACGCATTATTTTATTTTATATGTATTTATATACGCACTACATTATGAAATTTTCTGTGCAATGTTGCTGAGAAAAGAATTAATTTCATAATTTTATATTAAATTTAACTATCATATATAATTTAGCTAATAATTACGTGGTTTATTATCGAATTTCTTGAATTATTTCGATCACGATGATTTCCTCGACGGTACAATATTATAATATTGCTTGTTCTTCCAAGTGATAAGCTTAAAGATCACCCTGTTATCACATTAACGTGCAGTTTAATGTGTAACACGATATTACTCGTCTCGCTTTGTTATTTCATGCTCTCGTCTCTTCCGAGTTTTTCGAAACGAGATTCCGGTTCGTCAAATATTATTATATTCACGTGCATCTGGTTTCATTGCAGTAATTAACGGGAATAGCGATGGACTCGATGCAAATTAGTGTTCTATTTAAATTCGCTAATTACTGTTACGACATAACGATACGCTCGCTTCACGATGAAACATTCATGTTACAAGGTCCGCGTGTGACTATGTGTTTTTCTTTCAAACACGGGGGAATGGAATCGGGTATAATTAACGTATATGGAAGTATTATCTGATGCGGCACAGTGACATCGATGCGACACTCGTCGGTGTGCGTAATTATGCGTGTGTGTCTGTCTCTTTCTCGTTCTACAACGTTGTCATGCATCTATAGATGAATTACATAAGATTATTGAATCAAATTTTTGTAATTAAACAATTTTTTCATTAGATTATTGATGTCTTAATTTTTTATTTAGCCTAAACTCGTTGTCTAGACTCGAGACCCACGTGCTTGTTGCACTGAAAAAAATCAATGTATGTATACTTTTATATGGAAATTACTTATTCAGAACTGGATAAATTACCTGACTATCACTGTAATTTTTTATCCATATTTTTTTTAAGTGAAATTACATATTAATGAAAAATACATGTAAAATATAGGTGAAATTATTATTTTTATGCGAAAATTATTTGTAATTTTTAATTTAGTACTTTTACTTTATTAAAACTTTATTTTATAGGCATTTATCCATTTTATTTATAACATTATTTTATAGCATTTATGCGCGTTACTAGAATTCCCTATGTGTAATTCCATGTTTAGTGGAATATTTTAATCTTGAAAACATAAGAATATACAATATTTCATATGAAGTTACATGTAATCTGTAAGCTTCCATATATGAGTAGCCGCACATTGCATGATTATATATTATGGATTGGAAAAAACCCAGTATAATGTAATGTTACACAATAGTATATTGTGTATCAAGTGCGGAAAGTTGACAATTGGTTACGAGTGCGACCACCCCACACGAGTGAATAATTGTCAATCTACACGTGATACACATACTATTTTGTATTACAAGTGCAGGCAAAGTGGCTTTGTGTGCGTTTTCTGTGCGCGAGGTGGCCGATCGCACGCCGCAAGATGGCGGCGTGGGAAATCGGCCGCTTTCCGCACAGAAAACACGCACACAAAGTGCCACTTTGCCTGCACGTGTAATACAAATATTTTTATCAGCGCGCGCGACTCGTGGATTAATAAATATAAACTAGTTATCCGAAGCAGACAGTAAGCAGCAAACGCAGGAATAAATATGATAAATTGTAATTGAATGCGTATTCGAGGCGGCAAAGGCACGTTTGCGTCTCGAGAACAAACGGCGTGTTTTTTTCTCGTCACGGGCTCCTTTTTTCTCTCTCTCTCTCCGGCGACGCCGAGGACGACGACGGTGCTTCAACCGAGTTTCTCCCAGGCGAAGTCGAAAGGAGCGTAATACGGGTCGAGAAATCGATGGTCGACCGTGTCTTCCTTTTGCCCTCGGCTTTGCTGCCCTCCTCCGCGGTTCCCTCGCCTTAAAACATCCACCTTCTCCTCTCCCCCACGCACCCTTTCTATCCTCGTTCTCTCCCCATCGCTTCCTCGCCAATTTACGAGCATCTCGAAGTGTGCCTGCCTGGCTGAAAACCGGGTAGCGTCGCCCGGATATTCCGGCGGACGTCTTGCGGATGACGTCGAATCGCGAATAGAACACCTCCTTACGACATTCCCGTGTATCGCTATTTTATTTCTCGCATTACTTTTAGATCCGCGATAAAGTAATTCCCCGATATTAACTTGATTACATTATTAATTAACGACGTTATCTCCGTTAATTGAGGTCTGAATGGGTTTTTTATTCATTGATGGAAAGCGCGCTATATTTAAAGGAGATGTACAATTAAAATATTGTGCTTGTATATTTTTAATTATAATACGTACACTAGTAAGAAAAATTAATCTTTATGATAACTCTTATTGGAGTCACGGAGAATCTTTATCTCACGGTTTTATTTTGACACTTTACAAGCAATCGAATAGCGCGATATGCGCGTCCACAATTTGTTCACATTTGTCCATAGATTATCGTTTTTATCCATTTTACAAAAAAAAAATGAAAAATGAAAAAGGAATAAATTTTATCACGAGCACCCTAGATACGTTTTTTTTTAAATATTTAATATACATACATTATACATACATTATATATAGATATACATTATATATGTATTTCGATTGCTCAGCCATTTGTCCACATTTGACCAAAAATAATCGTCTTTTGTTTATTTTGCAAATAAAAATTAAAAACAAAGTCAACAATCAATTTCATTATAAACATTCGTAAGTGCGATTATTTAAAAATTATAAATAGGGGTGCAGCTAGGGATGCTTATGATAAAATTTATTCAAATTTCTTTTTATTTTTAATTTTTTTTGCATGGTGGACAATCGAATGCCATATCAATTTTGTAAAAATTCGAATTTCGGAGTACCAACTTTATAATAGGCCTCTTGTATCGAAGGAGTAAAAGTATCGATGCTGCTTAATCATAAGCATCCATGTATCTGCGAATTATTCATGATCTACGTAGGAATAAAAAATATTCTGCAGAAATAAGTAGAATTGCTGCAGCTGCAATAATTTGCGCGAGTTCTTGTTATTCAACGCGCCGGAGAGACACGTCTAATTATACGCTCGTCGGATAGAAATGATAATTTCGACTGCGGATTCTGATATTTCAGCATCGCGGGCATGAGAGCTAGAAAATTGCGAGAACGATCGAAATCGCGTGGAGAAAAAAAACATTCGTAATATATTGAAGTTTTAGATTCAATTAGTTACAACGCTTTACATCGAGTTTTCCTCTCTCTCTCTATATATATTGTTAGGAAGTTTTGATGTCGTTTATGAAGAACTTAAAGACAATGGCCAAACTATCGTATCTCCACGAACTTTCAATTTTATTTGATCGATACGGTATTTTTTTCGTTTATTTGAAAATAGAATTTTATCGTAAAAGACACGAATATTTGTTTAAAAAATAACTTTGATTTTTTTATTATTTAATAAAAGATGTAACAATGTAGGTGATAATATATCAAACTATAATATTAAAACATAATTTGCAAGTTTTTAACAAAAGTGGAAGTCATTAAAATAATATGAATTTTAATAGATATTTGAGTTAAAAAAATGTTAAAATAATTTCACTCAATTTCCCTCTCCCCCTTCTCTTCTTTCATACAATTTAATAAAGTCTGCATTTTTTCAGTAAATAAAATAATAGCAAAATAGTAAAAGATATTAAAAAGCATTTCTGGTCGATGGTTATCTAAAAGATAATTTCAGACAGTAAAGAGCAGCTATGCGGCTTCTTTTATCAATTACAAATCAAGGGTTTCGCACATTATCATTCACGAATCTGAAAGCGAATAAAAAGCTATTGTACTAAAACGATCTTTCTATTAACTCGTTTCGATACAAAATGATCGTGTACGATTTATAGGTATTGAAATGACCGATATTATCGCAACTACTTCCTACACAATGTAGCATATATATATATATATATATATATATTCAAGACTATTATATTTAATTATATATTAATTCATTAATTTTTCACAATTTTTTTTATCAACCATCAATAAAAATTATTTATGGTAATTACTCATATATATATATTTTCGACGTCAGTAACCATGAGTAATTACCATAAATAATTTTTATTGATGGTTGATAAAAAAAATACATTCATAATTGACATAATATTGCATTGATATTTTATGTAATAATTGAGAATAAAAGCTAGGGAAGCTCAAAATATGTAACGTATTTACGTAATTTAAAAAGTGTGGATTTATATCATTTTATATATAGAAGAAAAAATCTCGAATAAAGGCAAAGAAAACTAATATTATATTGAGCATTTAAAGACGATAGACTAAAAAAATTCAAGACTATTATATTTAATTATATATTAATTCATTAATTTTTCACAATCTTACAATTTAACATATCTTTAAATGCTTGTTTAAATATAGAGGAGACATTTTATTATAATCCTCTTAGAGAGCGGCTTATATTTTAAAAGGAAACCACGAAGAAAAATGCGCGAAAAAAACATAAACGCGCGCATTAGAAATGATGATACTAAAATATTCAAATCGGATTATCTTGTTTTTTTTCCTGTCCGTCTCGCAATGTCGTTCAATACCAAGTACTTTCTTTATCCATTACATTAACAAGAATAAAGCTACAGAATTATTTATATCTTACTTTCGCCATCATTCAACTGATCGATGACTGTAGAAAAATCCTGATGTAAAACTTTTCAATGAAGACTGTACAAACTGATAAGAACTGGGACCACCTTGAATCGATACATCGTTGATAACGATCGCGTGACGAACTCGTAGAATGAAAGCTATTGTATACCAGAATATAGTAATACATATCAATTTTCTTGTTCGAGTCTAGTCAAGATCTCATACATTCAATATATGAACTGGAATATCCATTAAAACATTTTTCTCTATTGCAACAAATAATTTCATTTTTGATATATAATCACGTGTTTTTTTTTGTAAATTTTAATAGAAATAAAATTTTAAAAAATTATTAATTCACACCAAGAGTGAACCCTTTCCGATCAAAGATGTATCGAACATTTCGATGTACATTCACGTGCGAAATTATCGCATCTCTTAAAACCGGCCCTTCAAAGACACATTGAAACGCGTAATTCAACACGTTCGACTTGACGTTGCATAAGCAACGTCAGCGCAGATAAGGAGACACGTGTGTAAGTGCGCACGATGCTGTCAAAATGCATGAATTTCTCACCAAGACCCGTTTCCAGACGAAAAGTCATCTCGCTCGAGAATTAATAAAAATACAATTGCGACAACAATAATCATCATATCTGTTGCGTATGATAACTATGCTGGTTATATGATAATAGCGGCGCCGCTTGTGTAGCGTCTAGCCTAGCATCTGCCTAACCTAACCCAACCCAAAGCAACCTAACCTAACGATATGTATATTTATACAACAGCTGGGCGACGGCGGGAGGGGAGTGCGCCAGTCAGCTGATTGAAGCGCTGGAGGGGAAAAGGTGGTATGCATGTGTACGTGTTATGTCGCGTGGAGGGGAGAACGACCTTTATTTAAAGCGCCGCCGGAGGAGGAAGCCTTTCTTCGACTGGTAAACAGTCGTCAAATGCAAATGTGAGAGAAGACTGTGCGCGCGCTCGCGCGTTTTACGCTCGAGATATAAACTATAAACGTTGTTTTTTTTTTTTCCGTCGAGGAATTCCGCGAGAACGTTTTTCATTAGCGGTGTCTGGTCTAATTAGGTGAAAGAGCTGTCCCTCCGATCCAGATGACGATGCAGTTCTGCGTTGTAGGCGTACGTTATTGTGTACGTAGAAACTTGGAGAGAACGTTTCTTTCTAATTCGACTGTTTTCATTAGCGCGAATATGTATCGACTTTTCGATATCTCGTACGCGGAGAGAATTTTCTCTTAGAATTTCCCCCTGAAAATCATGGTACTTCTTATGGGATAATATGGTATTAGAAGAATTTTTTGTAAGAGTTTCTCTGATTAATATTTACCGCAATAAAAATATAAAATACGTTTAATAGTAAAATTGATTACGTACGTATTAATATTTTTTATTATGTCAAATATTAATCGGAGAAATTCCAAGAGAAAATTCTCTCCGTGTAGACACTCAAGTTTATTTTGGATTCTAAACCGTCGACGCAAATATAAATACGTTACATCCCGAGGTTACGCTACACGTATTTTTTAAATATAAAGGTAAGAACAGAACCTCTGACAAAAAAAAAACGTGTTATTCCGGAGTAACAAACTCCTCTGCGGGAAAAATCGCGTATGCCGGACTCCGGGGTGCCGAAATTTCGAGACCGTCGTAAATATCTGCGAAACCTGTTCGGTCTCCCGTTTTTTTTTTCTTCCCAAAATAAAAGGAGGAAGGAGTCCTTGGCGGACTCTGGAATACAGTCTCTTTCTCTGGTAACGAAACCGTGTGTTTTCAGAGGACTGGCATGGAGAAGGAGAACTCCGCATCGGGCGGGGGTGGCGGGGGTGAAGCGACGACGGCGGCGACTCCGGGCGCCACCTCCACCTCCGAGAAACTCCAGGCGGACCAGGCCAATCCGTTGCTCGATCCTACTGCACTCTTCGGCGGTAAGTCATTTTCGCTCGTTTCGCTATTCTTTTCTCTCTTTTTTTACCCTTCTATTTTTATGTCCGCCCCGGAACGACTACGTCGCCGATAAGCGGCGTCGTTATGCGAATCGACGAAGATAAATCGGGGAAAGAAGTTCGATGGTAATAGGAAAGGAGCCTTTCTTCGCGCTCTAACGCTGCTCGCTTTCTTCGGCATCAGTTGAATATCTATTTGTAGAATAACCACGCAGAAAAAATAGTATCCTTGAGAGAATACAAATGTGCCTTGATTCAAGTGTAGTTTATCCTTATAATAGCGTCAAATATAAATAATTTTGGATAAAGGATCATTTATCCTTAAAATAAAGTGCAAAATATTCTTGGTTGAAGCTGAAATTTACTTATAAATATAACTAAGTTTGTTTTTAGCATATGCGATTTTTAAAACCAGAATATATCTTAAGGATAAAATAATCACACAAACTTATTTATTATTAAGGCAAAGAAAATGTGTGATTACAAAGAGCATTCTATGCTTAAATCAATCAAATTGCGTTCAAGAATAAAAATATACTTGAATCAAGGATTCCTTTTTTTCTGTGTTTTGAAAAGGATTTTCTTATATCAAATAAATATTTTTCATATCAAATTAATATTATTAGTTTCAAGTAAATTATTCATTTGGCAATATTGAAATAAATACTTATTCGAATTAAATAAATTGTTTTAGTGCACTGAAAAAAATCGGTGTACTTTAACATCACAGAAAAAACAGTATCCTTGAGAGAATGCAAATATGCCTTGATTCAAGTGTAGTTTATCCTTATAATAGCGTCAAATATAATTAATTTTGGATAAAGGATCATTTATCCTTAAAACGAAGTGCAAAATATTCTTGGTTGAAGCTGAAATTTACTTAAAAATATAACTAAGTTTGTTTTTAGCATATGCGATTTTTAAAACCAGAATATATCTTAAGGATAAAATAATCACACAAACTTATTTATTATTAAGGTAAATGAAAATGTGTGATTACAAAGAGCATTCTATGCTTAAATCAATCAAATAGCGTTCAAGAATAAAAATATACTTGAATCAAGGATTCTTTTTTTCTGTGTTTTGAAAAGGATTTTCTTATATCAAATAAATATTTTTTATATCAAATTAATATTATTAGTTTCAAGTAAATTATTCATTTGGCAATATTGAAATAAATACTTATTCGAATTAAATAAATTGTTTTAGTGCACTGAAAAAAATCGGTGTACTTTTACATCACAGAAAAAAAGGAATCCTTGATTCAGTATATTTTTATTCTTGAACGCTATTTGATTGATTTAAGCATAGAATACGCTTTGTAATCACAAATTTTTATTTGCCTTAATAATAAATAAGTTTGTGTAAAATATATTTTATCTTTAAGATATATTCTTGTTTTAAAAATCGCATATGGTAAAAACAAACTTAGTCACATTTGAACTAAGAATTATTATATATACTTGAAAGTACCGCTTATATCCGATGCTCACTTGTCCTTGCAATATTTATAAGTAAATTTCAGCTTCAACCAAGAATATTTTGCACTTTGTTTTAAGGATAAATTATCCTTTATCCAAATTATTTATATTTGGCGCTATTATAAGGATAAAATATACTTGAATCAAGGCATATTTGCATTCTTTCAAGGATACTGTTGATATTACGTCCGCGGTGTAACGAAGGCGGTTCATTAATCTAATCATCTCGAATTTGTGACGATTCTCTGCGCTACTTTGTGTCTCCGCGACGTGAATCCTTCCTGGATGTTTCTAATTTTCCCGGCAAAATCATCACCCTCCGTCTTTGTTCGAGACGGTGCATACACGAACAAATATTTCCCATGCGCGTGTTTGGTATTTCGAAAGGATATGCGCGAATTCCGACGTCGTTATATTTGCCGGCGTGAGTTATCGTGCTTGTCCAGGAGGAAGTTTGCTCCCGGCTACTCCGATTTTGGTCGTCGAAGCACGTTTCCGCGACGAGTCGGACGGTTTCGCACGATCCGCCCGCGAGTACATAAGCTGACAAATTGGAGGGTTTATTGCAATAGAGAGCACTAAAAGTGAACTTATCTACGAGTTTCTTCTTTTTCTCAAAAGCGAAGGATTGGGTCTTTGACGTCTCGAAGATGAATCGTGAGTTATCGTCAAAAAAAGAATTTTTTTTAGATTTTATTTGAGATTCTTTAAATTGGATCTTTCTTTCTTGGAAAATTTCATTATTGATATACACGGCGAAATGTTTTCTCGAAATTTACCTACCCCGAAAATCATGGCAATCGTGAGACAGTTGGAAGAATTTTATGAGTTTCTTTGATTAAATATGTACCACGATAAAAAATATTAAATATTTTATATCTTATTGTGGTAGATATTATTATTTTTATTCTGGTAAATATTAATCAGAGAAACTCTAAGTTCTTACATATTGTCTCACGATAAGTATGATTTTCAGAGGGTAAATTCTAAGAAAAAGTTCTCTCTGTGTACAGATAAAAATTGATTTAATTACGTAAGAGTTACAAATTGTTATGTGCAATTTGGTAATGAAATTTATAATGTATATAACCGGTCATTAATTTCTGTGAAATATATTTTTTCTCAGGCAGATTAATGGAACAATAAGAGACTCATTGTACAAATATAAATTCTTCACACGGAGAGGATTTTCTTGTTAGAATTTACCCTGAAAATCGTGGTAATCATGGGACAATTGGAAGAGATTTATAAGAGTTCTCCTCTGATTAATATTTACTACAATAAAAATATGAATATGTACGTAGTAAAATTAATCGAGCATATTTTCTATAGAAGATATTAATATTTTTTATTGCGATAAAAATGATTATCCCATACACGCGTAAATTCTAAGAGAAAAATTCTATGCATAATTAATGAATTCGAGCGTTAAATAAGATATATATTTCGCACGCCCCGAAATGAGATCTTTCTTGCGTATCGCGCTGTTAATGACACCATCGCACTTGCCATGGATTTTCACATGGTCATTCGAAAGCGGATACAAAGTGGACCCAATGCGCTCTCGCGCGCGTCAACGCTATATATCAGCGACGTTTTAACGAGCGGATTTTTCTCTCCTGCTCCATCCCGAAATCAATTAGTCCCGCGTGCGCACACATCCAGCCTTTCTCTCAAAATCTCTTCTCTCTCTTCCAAGGTTATCAAGGCTCCTTTCGACGACTCTCGACCGCTTCCTTCGAGTCTCGCATATCGCATTCAAATTTGCTTCCAGTGTTAGTCTCGTAGATACCTCCGATTTTGTGACATTTAATTTCAATGAATTTCAATAAAAATTCTATTCAGAAGGCAGGGTTGAATCAGAAAGGAAATGCATGCAAATTGAGAATAATTTTGTGTAAGAGGTATTTAATTCGACCTGTGCATATATTTATGTAACATTTCTATCGTTGAATGTTATTTAGTTAATGCCATTTAATTTCTAATCTTCAAGTTTCAATTGTATATAAATTCTTATAAATTCTTCATGCGACTATTTCCAGCGTAAATAAGTATAAATAATAAATCTTCACAATGAATTGTTGATCGCCAGTGATAAAATTTTCACAAATAATAAGATGCAATTTAATTCGACCAAAAAAACTGGCTATTCATTTATTGAAAATAAGTACGCACTACGTTTCGACCCACATTGTGGTCCTTTTCAAGTGCTGGAATACAAAAATACATAATTTGGCAAGCGAAATTAACATTACATTAACACTAAATTTATAGTTTTATTAAATAATAATAATTGCTAATCTACGTTGGACTATGAAAGAGAGAGCCTACGTTATTTATTGTCAAATTCTCGCGCGCGCCCCGAAAACCCGGTACCACTTTCGCTCCCTCGTAGACCAGGATCTCTCCGTCGCCTCTCGACGAGGACGAGACTTCGTCATTTATTTCGTCGCTTCACCTTCGACCCGCCATCCCTCTCAACCCTGGGTGGTTCTCCTGTCCATCGCCTGCCATCCGTCTCAGTCTTCGTCGACGACTTCTCTCGGTTGCTCTCGTCCGCGTCGCGTCGCGTCGCTTTTTCTTCGTCCTCGCTCCGAGTTTAGGTCCGTAGGGCTTTGGGGACGCAAGAACGAACGAACACGAGCGGACGACCGGACGCAAGCAGCGAGATGCTTCCCTCTCTCTCTCTCTCTCTCTCTTTCTCTATCCATCTATCTTTCCGTCGTTCTCTCGCTTTCGGTCGGTCGCTTCTCTAGCTCGCTCGGCCACCCTCTCCGTCTCCCTCGCTCTTCGCCGGTTCTGTATATTTATTGATTGCCACCTCACCTCACCTACCACGGTAGACCGAGGTCTGCGGCAGTTTCCCCACCCCTCTCGCGTCCCAGCCTCATTCTGCAGCGGCAGCAGCAGCAGCATCGCGCGTTACGAGGAGCCTCTGTCCCTCTTTCTTGCTCTCTTTCCGCGCTATCACGCCTCTCTTTCTCTCGCCGACCCACTCTGCTTTATTCGAAGCTTCGTTCACCTCTCTCTCTCTCTCTTCCTCTTACTCTCCCCGCAGCAGCCGCGGTGCTTTTACCTCCTACGCTCAATACAAACTCGTTGGACGCGGCAGAGTTTTCGTTTGAAGCTACCATCCGGGGCTCGCGATATATATCCACACCACCCACACCGTCGCGTATCCTCGTCTTGACGTCGACGTCGACCTCTCGGCGTCGTTATATCTCGACGGCGGATGACTCGCGGCAAGAGAGAGAGAGAGACTGCACCCTAGATGAGAAGACGCCGTCATTTAGGCGAAGCAGGGAGAACGGAAAGGTCTATGCTTGGCAAATGATACTTCCCTCCCTTATCTCTTTCTTAGTTTCGCTTCTATAATGGTACCCTACGACGAACTTTCTCTGTCTTTCTATGTTATCTATACAGGAATTGAACGATAACGCGAAATCTGCGCGGACACAATGATGATGTGTAGGTACCTGAAGAGATCGAACGGATCTCTCG